CATTAAAGCTTTGCAATGGCTTTTACAAAACAGTCTTCTGTTTCAAAGTGAAGGAATTTGTATCAATAGTGATTGGAACATTGAATCTGAGCAACAAGCATGGTTTGATTTTGTGGATGGAATTTATGCTACTGCAGTAAATGGACCAGAAATTACTGATGAAAAAGGATTCACAAACGCTTATAGTACGGAAGACATTGACTGCTGTTCTGATGATTCAGATGGATGGACAGAAGACCCAAATTTTGAAAACAGGCTAACTGGAAACATGGATACTCTACTGCATCCAGTAGATGTGCGTTCATTGTGCAAGACAATGTAATTTTCCCCAGGAGAGGGACAAGTACCTCTTGGTATCTACCAAGACAGAAATGCTGAATATTTATCTTTCCCAACAATTTTTTGTGGCCAATCACGACCTGACAATAAGGACAGAACAACTCGTGTTCATTATAGCAGTGTTTGCAAATGGGAATTAAGAAGTGTTGATAGGCGGGCAGCTTGTTCAATTCCAAACATTTTCTTCAAGCTTAAAAAATTGCAGGTTAAACAAATTCAGGACAAGGTATATTTAAGCATGAGAAAGTGTCAAACTGAGGGAAGAAGAGTCACAGCTGGGCACGTTCTTAACCCAGGAGAATTCGATAATATTGTCAGACTTAATGAAGGATTCCGAGTTTTGAGAAAACTAAGAGGCTCACCTGCTTATCGGGAAAGTGCTAAAAAAGATCTGTTTGCAATGATAAGACAACTTGGGATACCAACTTGGTTTTGTTCCCTGTCAGCTGCAGAGACAAGGTGGACTGACTTGCTTAGAATTCTTGGGAAATTAGTAAAAAATGAAGAATTAACTGATGAACAAATAAACAAGTTGTCTTGGACTGAAAAATGTGAGCTTGTCAAGGCAGACCCAGTGACCTGCACTAGATATTTTCAGCACAGGGTTCAAGTGTTTATCTCAGATGTCTTGAAATCACATTTGGCTCCGTTAGGAAAGATTGAGGACTACTTTTATCGTGTAGAATTCCAGCAAAGAGGATCACCACATATTCATATGCTTATATGGATAGATTGTACACCAAAATATGGAGAAAGTGAAGACAAGGACATAGCTGATTTTGTAGACAAACATTCTGGTTGCCAAATGAATGATGAAATACCAGAGCTGATAAATTACCAAACACACAGACATGCCAGAACTTGTCGAAAAAAGGGGAAGAAAATTTGTCGATTTAATTTTCCTCTGCCACCAATGTCCAGAACTCAAATATTGGAGCCACTCAGAGATAATGAGAAAGAAAACTCACCAGAAATTTCAAAGATCTTTGAAACTATATGCTCATTGTTAAATGAGTTAAAATCAGGTGACCCAACGACATTCTCAGAATTCCTGGACAAACTAAAGATAACAGAAGATACCTACATCAAAGCAATAAGGTCATCTCTGAAAGTTCCAAAATTATTCCTTAAAAGGAATGTTTCAGAAGTTAGTGTGAATTCCTACAACGAGTTGATTCTTAAAAGTTGGCAAGCAAACATTGATGTTCAGTTCATTTTGGATGCTTATGCATGTGCTGCATATATTGTATCATACATATCAAAGTCTCAAAGGGGAATGTCAAACTTGATGCATGAAGCATGTCAAGAAGCAAGAAATGGAAATAAGAGTATACAGCAGCAAGTAAGACACATAGGAAATAAATTTCTTACTCATGTTGAAGTTTGTGCACAAGAGGCAGTGTATATCATTTTGCAGTTGTCGATGCGTTCCAGCACGAGATCTTTTGCATTCATCAACACTGCACCAATAGAAACAAGAACTTTCCTTCTAAAACCTTATGAAGTACTCTCTGAAATGCCTGAGAACTCTACAGACATTCAATCTGATAATATCCTCATGAGGTTTCAAAGGAGACCAAAATTCTTAAACGATTGTTGTTTGACGGAGTTTGTATCTCATTATGATGTTGTTTTCCCAAAGAAAGCTGACAAACAAAAGCTTAACTGGGAGTATTTAACCAGAAGATGAACAAATTGAAGAAGATGAAGATGATGTAAACTCAGATGAGACAGCTGACAGTAATAAATGTCAAGAACATGAAATACCAATGAGAGATGGGACAGTGTTGAAGAAACGCAAGAAACCAAAGATAATACGGTATGTAAGGTATAACCAAGAACTGGATTCAGAAAATTTCTTCAGAGAGCAATTAATGCTGTTTTACCCTTGGAGAAACGAGTCAGAGGATTTAATTGGGAATTGCCAGACTTTTGAGGAACAGTACAATGCAAAGATTGAAATAATAAGTGCCAACAAAAGAAAATATGAAATGGATCATGGTGTAACCGACATTGTCGAAAACAACTTGGAAGAATTACAAAATAAGGATCCAGTAGTTGCTGCTGAAGTTCAACATACTGAAGAAATTGACAACGATGAGCAGTTCGATAGTCATAACATATTTCATGGCTGCTTCAACCCTAAGGAAATGGGCCATGATTATGATTTAGGTCTTGATTTAGGCATATCAAGAAAGCAAATAGATCAGTGTGAAACGAAAGTGAAATCAATGAGTCATGATGAGTATGTGAAATTAGTAAGATCTCTGAATGATAAGCAGAAAATCTTTTTTTTATCATGTTCTGCACAAAATCAAAAGTGAAAAATGCCTTTTTATTGCTTCTTAACTGGTGGTGCTGGTGTTGGAAAAAGTGTTTTGACTACTGCCCTTTTCCAAGCAATAACACGTTATTATGTTAAGTGTTTATCTGAAAGCCCAGATGAAATGAAAGCAGTTCTGTGCGCACCAACAGGGAAAGCTGCACACAATATAGGTGGCCATACAATACATTCTTTGTTTTGTATTCCAGCAAATCAGAGCTTGAATTACAAACCCTTAGATGTACAGCAATTGGACTCCTTCAGAGTGAAATTTCGATCTTTAAAAGTCATTTTTATTGATGAGATATCTATGGTTGGCAACAAAATGTTTAATTACATTAATTTCAGACTTCAAGAGATTTTTGCAACGGAAAGGCCATTTGGTGGTGTGAGCATTATTGCTATTGGGGATTTGTTTCAATTAAAACCAGTCTTTGATGGTTGGATATTTCAACAATTAAAGGATGGATATGGACCTTTGGCCATTAATCTCTGGCAAGAATTCTTCCAGATGTTTGAATTGACAGAAATCATGCGACAGAAAGATGATCAGGAGTTTGCAGAACTTTTAAACAGATTGAGAGAAGGACTCCAAACAAATGAAGACATGGCAAGATTGAAAATGAGAGTATTTGAAACAAATATTGGGTTTAGTGTGTCATCAGCCCCACGTCGATATACATAACATGGAAGCATTTGAAAATGCAGATGAAACCAAAAAATGTGCTATTCCTGCCTTAGATTCTATTTCAGGTGACATAAATGAAGCAACTAAGGAGAAGATAATGCGAAAGATACCTGATGATCCAACAAGAACAATGGGGTTATTCAAAAACTTGTATATTGTTGAAGACCTTGCTGCTGAGATTTGTGTAAATATTGATGTTGATGATGGCCTCACCAATGGAACTGTATGCTTTGTCAAGAAGTTGGATTTCAGAGTTAGAAATTCAAATCGCTGCAGCATTATCTGGGTTGAATTTGAGAGTGACAGCATAGGGAGTAATGCTCGTCGTAAATATGCAAATTTATATACCCAACATTGCTGTTTGAAATGGACTCCAATTCTAGAAATCACTCGTAAATTCACTGTTGGTCAGCATAGGGGAGCATATGCAATTCGAAGACAGTTCCCACTTCGTTTAGCTTGTGCTAAAACTATTCACAAATCACAAGGCTCAACAATGGACAAAGCCATCTTGCACTTTGGAAAGTACAAAAGGGAGCATATGCATTATGTTGGGTTAAGTCGTGTGAAGAAAATAGAAAACATACACATCTTAGAATTGAATGAGAAAAAAATATGTGTGTCCAGGGATGTTATTCAGGAAATGGAAAGACTGCGTTTAGATGCAATTTTGAAATCTTGTGTGCCAATCTTAAGAAATATTCCTGAAAACCTAAAAGTAGTCTTTCACAACTGTAGGTCACTTCATTTGCACATTGAAGATCTCAAAGTTGAAAGCAACTTACTAGCAGGTGACATTATTGCCATAGCTGAAAGCAGATTGAAAAAATCAGACAATAATTCTGATTATGAGATAGAAGGTTTCAAAATTCATAGGTTTGACCATGTACATATAAACAGTACTCAGAGGCCTTGCAGAGGTATTGTTCTATATTCAAAGGTAAAATTCTCAAAGGTTCAAAGACTGGTCTTGTGTCAGGATGTGGAAACTGTACTTGCAAGTTTCTTTCATTGTGAGGTTTTGCACCAAGTTGTTTTCCTTTACTGTTGTCCCCAAAAAGCCACACAGGGACTTTTGTGCAGATTGTTATGTGAAATAGTCAAAATTTTAGATCCTAGTAAACCTATCATTATAATGGGGGATACTAATGTCGACTTCCTCACTCAAGTTGAATTAAGTCAATTTGTTGAAAAAAACAAACTAAAACAACTGGTCACATATCCAACTACAGATTACGGAACTTGTTTAGACCATGTGTACACAAATATGACTTCAGATCAGATTTCCTGTGCTACATTAGAGTGTTATTACTCGGATCACAAACCAGTAGTAGCTTACTTGTAGGAACCATTTCATAGAAGAAACTGAATTGCTTTCATCTGTAAATACAGGATTTGATTGTAGATCCATTAAATTAAATGGGAATGTTTAAGACTAAGGAATTCTTAAAATTAGAATTAAATGTAACTTAGTGATGAATCACTTAATTGAAGTGAATGAGACATTTTATGATGTAGGCATGCAGACTATTTGACTTAGTACTATTATACAAAGCAATGCTCATGTGATCTCATTATAAAGGTATATAATCATTTAATTTTAGAATGGCACAGAAGACCATTGCTGAAATAGAAGAGATGTCAAGTAGTAGGCCAACTCCTTACTCAGGAAGCTTGATGGCCAAGGTCATAAAGATTGGACATGTTGCAAAATTTAAGAACAGTAATGGAGAAGATGCTGAGCTAATAAACTTTAGCTTGGTCGACAAAACTGGTGCAATTCTAGCAACTTGTACGGACAAAGGAAAAGAGAGAATAATTAAAGAAGGGAAAACTCTTCACATTAGAGAATTTATCATTAAAAATGGGAAGGTGGCCATGTCTCACAAAACAAAGGTCATGGCAAAAGCAAGCATGTCCATTCCAGACTCCATGGTAGAAAGAGCAGAACACCTCATTCTCCCACCATCCCCAGTCAGAAAGGTGGAAGAACTCTTAGCATCACCATTGAGAACAATCTCAACAGTGCAGGGACAGCTGTCAAAGGTATAGTACAAATGTCATAATTACTTCAGCACACAATTCATTTGTTTCATTCCAATTCAAAACCAGTTGAACTTTGGTATTTTGAATACCATGGATATATATCAAAGAGGTAACTTAATTGAAGTCCCGACAACTTCTTATTTAAATATCTTACCCTTGATATCTTGAAAACACAGTCATCTACATTTAAGATGTTTCTTGGCCCCAATGAGTTTGAGATAATAAAGTTTGACTATAATGAAATTCCACTTCATTATTTTTAAAACTTTTTCCTTGTATCACTAGAGTAGCATATAACCTTGCAAATAATCCCTATGTAGAATTTGCAATAGACATTTTTTTTGTATATTTATATTTTGCAAGATTAAGCATCACATAAACACTTATACTCAAATGCATGTCAATTTTCACAATAATATGAAGACATCCTCTAATCTAATGTCACACATTTTAGCTAATACAACAAATTTCAAATTATTTTAATTGATTGAATCTACTAGAACTGTGAAAGTGAATGATTCAGACACTGTCATCAGGACAATAAGCATACAGGAAGATGGTAAGAAGATCGACATAATCCTGTGGCGTGAAATGGCTGAAGAGGACCTGAAAATCGGCCAGTATTTGTCCATATCACACTGTATGTTAAATGAATGGCAGTTGCAAAAGACTTTGAACACTACAAGAAACTCCAAAATACAGGTACACAACATTCAACTTTATTTTTATGCAATATTCATTATGTAATGAACTAAGTTAAAAGAAAACTGCAAATTGAATATTTTGCATCATCACAACTATGCAAATACTGTAAGATGGTCAATGAAGGTTATAAGTAAATGCATCAATCATTCATGAAAATATGCAGGAAATTTTGTTATTTGTTTACAATGGTAAGTGAAGTGGCTGTAGTAGTATACGTATCAAAATATTACTACAAGTAGTAAATGTGTGAAAATCATTCACTATACGAAACTACTTTGTTTATATCAATATGATGCTCGTCAATACGATGCTCAATTTCTTGCATGCCTTCACATTAAAATTCACACTTTTATAATTACGCTGTATTTTAAAATTTGTAGATCATTCAGCCTCTGACAACAACTGTGAGAGGCCACATAGAGGCATTGACACTCGATGAAGTAGCAGTGGAGATTGCAGTCAAAGAGCATTTGAAAGAAGAATACAAAGATTTAACAGTTGACTTAGCCCTTCTAAGAACACACTTTCCCGAGACTGGAGATGTCAGAAACGAACATCTGGAAGATTACCTGCTTGAAAAACTTCCAATTGAGGCTGAACTGATAGTACAAGGGTCAAATGTGCAACACTTGACACTGATTGAGCCAGCAGGAGACATGGACTATTCCACTGAGCTATAGACCTATTCGATGATTTCTTGTGAAAAGACACATTGTGTAAATAACAGAAAATGACTGTCTTCAACACACACCGTTTTAAGTTCAGCAGTAATTCCAGCATTGTTATTGCTGCATGTTGACTTGTAGATATATTGTTTAACTTTTCTTGTTCAAGATTGCTTTGTCAGATGTGACCTAGATGTAATTAACATGTTAATGTGCCAGAAACATTCTGCCATGAGTATGTAGATTTAGCAACATTTTTGTTTATAAACTTTTGTTTTGTAGCTTTGTTTCCGGATTGGTTTGGTTCTTTTTTTTCTCTCAAATAGCCTATCAGCTTTGTGTTAGGTTTGTGTATATACATGTAAAAAGTGCATTAATAGGTAGGTATACTTTACACTGTACTTCTTTAATAATTGGACTCATCATTATCTCTAACAATGTATTTCAAAATCTAAAAATAAGATTAATTCCACACAGGAAACCTTTCAGCAAGGCTTTTACTCCTTTTATTACTCCGACTTGTAAATGTTTTCTGTTTGTGGAAAAAATTTTCATTGTATACATGTTGTCTGAATTTTTGTATTGTAAAACAAGTTCACTTTTGTCAGAATTGAAACGGCTGTGTATTTAATCTGTAATCTTGTACATGTATTGATCTTAAAATACATTGACATGATTATGTAGATGATGTATTATTATTGTATGCTTTTACAGAGGTATATTATAGCACATGGAGTGTTTCTCTTTTGTTGTATATTGACTGATTCTTAATATTCATTTGTAAACCTTTGTTGTTACATAGGTAGATTCCTTCCTACAATCTCAACTCCACAAGTATGTAGATCTAGTAGTCTCATTTTATGCTTTTAGGGAAGTATGTATACTTCCTGTTTGTTGTGGATATTAACTGATTCAACTGTGAAATATACATCTATACATCTATGTAGGTATTGTTTATTTATGGATTTACTTTTCACTTTTAAGACTTAAAAGTGCATATATGAAAGATATTTATATTCAGGTCATAATAGCTTTGCAATTACAGCACAAGTCAACAGTTTTCCTTATATTTCAGCAGAATATAATTTCATTCTTACTTTAATTTCCATGCAGTGCCAATACATTCCCCTCTACAATACATGTATACAAAATCTTTCATCCAGTGTTGGCACATGTAATTTTTACCATTACAATATTACCTTGGCTCCACACCCTGAGAAAGGCCATTGTAAAGAATCCTCATTGTTTTTGTTTTTTTAATTTTAATGCTAATTGTAATGGTGTTTATACTTTGTAGCGTTGTAGTAGTCAACATCTGCAAATCATGTTTGTAAATTTAGATTAAACTTCATTTCTGTTCTGATCTCATCCATCCTGATTCTTTTTTTTTTTTAATCATTTCATGTATTTCTGTTGTGCTTATATCTAAATTTTTATTAACATTTTCAAAAAAATTATCTCTCACAAAATTGCCTATTTCTGTACATAGGAATAATGGTGTCTTAATAATTTGTGAATTTTTGACCGGTTTGAGCAATAATTCACCACACTTCACAGTGATCAAAATTTTGTTATTGTTATTACATCATTTGTACATATATGCATTGTAAACTTTAATACACTATGTCAAACTCCATAATCTTCTTTGCTTATTCTTCCACTAATGTTAATAGTATATAAAACATTTTTTATATCATAAAATATACATCCCCTACTTGATGCTCATTTGTTATAATAAGCTTGCTCATTAAATCTCAAAACTTAAAATGCACTGTACTAGTTTCTAGTGTTGTACCAAACAATTCACTTCTTCATTCAAAGATTTCATCATATTGCACTAAAATTTGACACCAAGAAATATTCATCTCTGAAATATATCCACACTTGCACATTTCCTGTATAGTACTTCCACATGACAATTTCAAAGCAAGCATGCTAACCGCTTCCCAGTACTTTCAGTACTTTGATTTTAAATATGACTCTGGTCTGCAGCTGATACCAAGGGCGATGATTATCTCTGGCCCAGTGTCTATGAGTTCCGTCACGTGTTTGTACTAATCCTGAGCTGAATTCACTGCGAGGATGCGAATGTGAAAAGGATAGTACCGCGTTTATGTTTTTAAGTACAGCGACTGTGGATATCACAAGAAGTCGTGGAAATGAGGAATACGACAGGTGGTAACAGTCATTGGGAAATGCTTACAAATGAAGAAAACGTTGAAGTCTAATGATATAGCTGATTATTGTTGCATTTTTGTACGGATTTACCAATACTTACCTTAATTACAAATTCCAATGAAAGAGAACAAAAACTGAATAAGACATGATTGTTAGAATAAAGTACAAGATACACTGATGGCTACTAATCTGCAGGGCGATGCCACCGCCTGGAGTGGTGATAATTGCACTCCGTCATCTATACTAAATCACCAGGACTGAATCCGTTGCGTGAACTTGAAAAGTAACAAGGTGAACTAAGTAACTTACATTGTTTGTGGAATATAACTACTTTTGATCTATAACTAAGTGTGGAATGAAAACATTGATTCCAAAGCGAACAATATTAGTGAAGAGTAGTGAAGCATAGTAAAAACATATATCGATATGTACTTAGTGATGATAACATATACTGGACACATGTATTGGACCCATATAATCGAGTAACCACGCCGCGAACCACTCATGCTGTGCGATTATCGTTATTTATAATGAGATTAAAAATAGGTAAATTGTGACTAAGTTTAAATTATTGTCAGAGACTGAGGATTTTGTTTAATAAAAAGTGAACTGTTTCATGGACTAATTCCGATCTTGTGAACGAAATGAACTGTGTCTAAGTTTAAAAATCAAGTTCAAGAACGCAGAAATTTCCACTAGGTGGGGACGATTATTTGGACATTTTAAACTTGGAATACATTCATATCATAATCATTTTAGTTATTAATGGTGAACTTACTAGGGAAAGCTAAATAAAATAAAAGTTTATTAAACCGGGATGAACATTAATGGTGTACCAATTACAGTGACTTTATAATTGGAAAAGAAACTTTAATATCATGAACTATAATAATTTTGATCGAACTTGTTAATTCTTTTGTAATGTAATTGATCAGAATAGACCAATCAAACCCATCGATACTAAGTAATAAAATTTGAGCGGAAATGCAAAGTTACTATTCTTGACCAAGAGTAATAAAATTGGGAACTTTGAAGTAGATAAGTAAAAGATCTTGATGCTAGAACTCCTGTAGTGCAGAGATGGGGAATGAGCCCATAAATGATACAATCATGGGTATATTTTGATTGAAGGGTGGTGCCATGTTGGGGTTCATAGGTCAACGGACCTACAAGCGTAGGTGGCAAGGCGATGGTAAGGCAGCCAGTAAGGTGTACTTTTATATCCGGGACCATGAATACCTTATGAGCATAAAATACCCAGTTTGCTGGAAAAATGGGCGGTTTACATCTTTTGACTCTTTGGGATTTTGATCTTTTCAATTTTTTTAACATCTTTTGTGCTTCTTGGTTGATTCTCCTACGTTTAAGCACTCGGCTCTTCTTGAATATTTTGGCAATTTTCGACTAATCTTAAAAACTGTTATTATTTACCAATTGTGTTGGTCTATTCTGGTAAATACCCAGGACTATTATTAAAAACTCTATACGATCACGGTGAATTAATAAAATTTTGAAAAAGATATGTAAAGTTTTATCACTGGCTTTCAGTAGGCTATTTATTGAAATTATGAATTCAAGTGAAAATCTTTAATTAAGCTTATATGTCGTATAAAACCATGAGAACAGTAAAAAGAGTGTTCCAATGAAGGGACACATGTGCAAAGATATATATAAATGTAAGAGCGGTCAGCTATTTATTTGCTTACTAGTATCATACCCCGCTTTAGATGCGTGTGCCTGTCGCAAAGCCACTAGGGTGGACTATTGGGAAGAAGATAAAAACCGCCTTACGATTTGCAGACCTTAATTTCTCGTTAGGTCGGACTGTATCAAGGACAGCGTCCCAATTCCAACTCTTCGAATGTTAACAAAAATTCGTATTTAAAGATATGACTGATAATTGACAACTTGAGTAACATATGACATGAGTTATTTGATTTACAAGTAGAGTTAAAGATTATATTTGGAAATAAACAATTATTTAGTAACTCAAAGCACAGTCCACCTGGTCATATCACTCATGGCTAATTAAGATAATTAAACATTTCAAAGTAGATAAATCAGACAGATTGAAGCAATTATGACAACTCGTGTAGAATTTGAAAGAGACAATATTCAAAGTAAAATTGATAAAATGTCCAATGGTAAATTTTCATCTGTGACAATACTACCTTGCCCCAGTAAAACACGGCCTCCTGTTTTGATTCGGTACACTTAATCTGCGCCCATTTGAATTAATATGTTTTCCGTAATAAATGTTTTGTAGATCAGGGTTTGGTCTGTTATTTTGAATTTTGATAGATCGATTATAAGCTTCAGTTTGAAGATCGCGAATTCGTTGCAAATATAATTCCTTGTTTTTCACAAGTTGAATATTTTCGCTTTTCGAACACAGAATGGTATTGTCCCTTTCCTGAAGTTTCAATCTGTTTTCCCTCCATTCTTCTTGGACACTAGCACTTATCGATTCTACTAATTGTTTGTGAGAAGAGTTTTCAATCCGCAGAGTTTGTACTTCATGTTGTAACCTCGAAATAGTAAGTTTATCTTCAGCGGTATTGCAATTTGATGATTGAGATTCACATGGCTGTCTCGTTAAAAGTTGATTAAAAATTTCTTCCAGGTTATTAATCACATTAACTGCTTCAGCATATCTTACTTCCATCTCCTTCACTTTGATACGTAATTGTTGAAGTTCCGTTTTAAGTCCATGCTGTATATTTAGGGTGTCCTGGAACGCGAACGCTGCATTTCTAAATTATAGAATGGCAATTCGCGGAGGTGAGATTTGGTTTCAATGTATTTTTCCATACGAACTTTGTCTCTGGACTTTCGTC